CCCTTGGCGGCCCGCTACTAATTGCCGCCGGCCGCGGTTACGTGCCGCGCGTTATAGCCGCCCGAGTGTGCGAGCGGGGGAGGGGGGTCGACGAGGGGGAACCCGAGGCGGCCGGGGCCCCAGAACTCAGCCGCCCAGAACACACAGCCGGTCCCGAGTTCTCGGCGCGGTGCGTACGCGCTCTCGATCCGCCGCGCTCTTTCGTTCCGCGTAGCCCGGCACATGAACGGCGAGCCGGTATGTCGGACGGTATGCGAACCATCGGCAGAATCTCCTTGCTGTGAGAGCAGCGACGAAATTCGCCCCGCTACCGGGGATATTCCAGCTGCGGTTATAACGGATGCGTGTGCGCGTCGTCGCTGGGAGCATGGAAACTTTCGGAGGATAAATTCGACGAAAGTCCAGCTGGCATAATACGGGATCAGCGCGCTGTTATGGAAGGCAACTTAAAAGCTTTCCGCGTCCATGTTGATTTTACCTTTTTTTCGAACTCTGAAAATTTTATCGTCGACGTGCCCTCCTTCCTTCCAATATATTTGTTAAGAAAAAATCAAATAAAAAAAAAATTAATTTCGAATTTGTCTTTTAAATTGCGCATCCCGCATAAAATCCGGTAGATAAATACAATTATTTCAGAAATAACGCGGAACGAAATATCGTCCTCCAGATGTTTGTTAATTTTTGGAGCGGAGGGTGTGCGTATTCCTAGCGGTGTTCCAAGGGTGAACCAGAAACTCCGCTCCTGTTAGTTCATTTACACCGTAAGCGTGCCGAGTTAAGGCCCGGAAATCCAGGTTGCAGCGTCGTATTTCACGCTACCGTGGCTGCACCACCGCATCTACACCACTCCTTCCTCCTATCTGTGTACCCGGTGCAGCGAGTCCGTTTTAATGCCCGGCGAATTTAGCGTCTCGTTCCGCTTTCTTCGCGGATTGTCTCGCGACGAATTCGTTCTCCGGTCCCGCCCATCTCTACCTCCTTAGAATACAGCGATGCTGTTAACTCTTTTGTGACTGCATTTAATTTCATTAAAAAATGAGACTTGCACACATTGTCCTCAATATTTCATGCTAAATCTCTAACGTTTTATAAACCCAATAAATCTAATTAAAAAAAAAAAACCGGAGAATTAAAGCATTTTTTTCATCTACTGATCAAAAATTATTTTAGAACACAAAGGTTACATGGTATTTTTTTCACGTGGATAAAAATTCTTCGCAAATACATCATGAATTTTTACTTGTATGCGAGACTTGATTTTGTGTGCCGCAAAATTTGAATCTGGTCAAGAGAATGCTTCGCATAAATCGAGAGGCAAGCGTACATAGCATTATGTAACAATGCGGCAAATCGGCGGCGGTGAGAAGCTCTCAATTCTAGCCGGCTGAATACGCGCGTTCGGAGTAACGAAAGGGTTAATCTCGCGGTATTAGCACGAGCGCACGAACGAAGAGCATGCACTTCGGTTATCGATACGGAGATAGCGGCGATAACAATCTTTACCCAACATTAACGTCGAGATAAAGCCGCAGACGTAGCCCAACTTCTATGTGAATCGCCGCGTACGATTTTATAAATAAAATTCTGCTTGCGCAATGGTCCGAGTTTTATACCGCGAAGAAAAATATCACGTGAGGCGTTCTAATTTCATTACACTAAGTGGCATTATCGATATTAAAGAAGATCTCGCGTACTGCAAATACACACAATACATGTTATTTTAACAAAAAGGAAAAAAAATCGAAAAATATCTTTGTTATAATAATTGAAGTTGAAACGAGAGATATACTTT